TTTTTTTTTTTTTTTTTTTTTTTTTTTCTTCTCCCCCTCTTTCTTCCGGTCAAATGGAATTGTTTTTCTCCTTTCATTTGTAACTTTTCTTTCATCCTTGGATTCTATGTATATACATATGTATGTATGTATATATATATATAGGCTACACTTGTCGAACAAAGTGGAAGCGTTGCGACGGAATCGGTAACCTCGAACAACACGCTAGCTCCTACTTTGATGGCGTCGGAACGAGAAAGTGGCAAATCTTTGGATGCTTCTGCAAGAGTAATAGTAACGACGACGAATCCAATGACGGTTGCAACGACCAGTGCCAGTACAACAAACGTACTTAAAGAGTCAGGGAAAAAGTCTGCGAAAGAGGACAAAGAACCTATTCAAATTATTCGCGGTGGACGAATAATCACGTTACCTCCCATCGAAGCACCAGCTACCAGAAGCAAACGGTTGCAAATTAAAACTGTCGAACCTGTTCAAAAAACGTTGGAACCTGTCAAACGAATGGAAAAGTTCGGGTACGTAACCGTCAAGTCGAATAAAAATAATCGTGTAATTCTCGTATTATATTTGCTAGAAGTTACAGTGCAACGACGCAACAACAAAGGACGTCGCCGCAGCCTGTCAAACTCGAAGTTCACGCAGGTGTGGATCAAGCTGGAAAGAACGAGAATGCAGTTCGAATGGAACAAGAAGACGTAGAGGAGGAAGCTGAAGACGACGAGGCTGAAGAAGACGCGGATACAGAGAAACGTCGAAAACGGATTGACGAAGAAGACGAAGAAGAAGGAGGGGGAGAAGAAGAAAGAGTAGGAGAACAAGAAGAAGGAGAAGAAGAAGACGAGGGAGAAGAGGAGGAAGAGGAGGAGGAGGAAGAGGAAGAAGAGGAGGATAATTCAGATTCGGAAGACGATCCTGACAGACTTTGGTGCATATGCAAGCGACCGCATAACAATCGTTTCATGATTTGTTGCGACGTATGCGAGGATTGGTTTCACGGAAAATGCGTACACGTTAGCAAAGCAATGGGTAAGACGAAAAAATACGCATCTATTTATTTATTACAAATAATACAGTCGTCGTAGTACAGAGTAAGAAATACGCGTGTATATTGATTTTTCGTTTCTCTCTCTCTCTCTCTCTTTCTCTCTCTTTCTCTCTCTTTCTCTTTTTCTTATCTAGGACAACAAATGGAGGAAAAAGGAATCGAATGGGTTTGTCCAAATTGCGCCAAGAAGAAGGACGAAGAGATAAAAGCCAGACTGAATACTCAAAATGCTTCTGGAAAGCAACGGATTCAATCCGACACTGTATCTGAAAATTCGAAAAATCTTACCTCGGTTAATCAGGCTTCGTTTGCCGAAGAAACACCATCCTTGATACAATCTGGTTGCGATTACGGCGCAGTTCAATATTCCAGTAACATGCAGTGCGTCGTTTGTAAAAAAGAAGCCAGAAACTCGAGCATTTATTGTTCCGACGCGTGCATACTCGCGCATGCTCAAGAAACATTGACCAAAGACAAGCCAGTAGCTGGATCAACAACAACGGGTACAAAAGGGGCAAGATCGACACCATTTGATCCTGCTTTGAAGCAGAAAACCGATGCTCGAGTCATCGTTTTTGAGAGGAAGACTGGAAAAGTATTAACTGGTAGCTTATATACATCTATTCATCAAAACGTTTGTATCCGCGAAAAAGAGAAAGAAACATTTCCGTTTATCGTTGTCGTTTCTTTAAGGTTCGGACGCTCCGACGAGATCAAATTTGCGCACGTGGTTAAAAGAACATCCTACGTTCGAAGTGGTTGGAACGAATAATCTCGGTGCACTGCAAATAGGGAAAACGATCGCGACTGTTCAAACGCAAACACCTGGTAGAACAGTGAGTAAAAAATTTCCCTCCGAATCATTTGTTGTCTTCTCGCGGTCCGTATAATTTTTGTTCTCGCGTCAATGAACGTTTGTCGATGAAAATTTTTTTAAGGGAAAGGCTGCTGCGATACTCTCTCCGGCTGGGAAAGGGCAGAATCTTTCGAAGATGACATACGCAAAAGTACCGGGTTCCAAGCAAATGATTTTAACAGCGGGAAATAAAAAATTTACACTCATCTCTGGTGGGCAGCAACAGCAACAGCTACAGCAGCAACAACAACAGCAACAGCAACAGCAACAA